ACACTGAAAAGTTAATAGCAAAAATTAAGAAAATAAAAATTTATCCATGGCATGCGACTTGCAATAAAAGTTGGCAAAATACACTTTATATGACCAGAATGTATCTTTAATTTGATTATCTCCCAAGATACAGAATATACAAGAAATGGATAAACCCAAAGAAAGTGTAAAGTGCCAATTTTTTTGTTGCAAATAAAATACAATGTGTGGCATAAATACCTCCCATATAATGGTAAGACATTAGTGGCAACTAATATCTTAGCATTATGTGAGATGTATATGTGGGAGGGATTTCTATCACACACTGTAGATGGACTAATGTTTGAAAGCCAAAATAAGTCAAAATAGCCTGAACCTAATAAGAAAAACAAACGATAGCTTTTTAGGTATCTTATTTAAAAAAGACAATATTAATTATAAAAAACTCTGAAAGTAAACATTTTAAATATTTCCATATTAATAATAATATATTAATAAAACTGGTATGAACACCATCCAGACCCAGTTACGGAGATAGGATCTGTTACAATTCTATGGGACAACACAATACACACTGACAGAACAATCAAAGCCAACCGCCCAGGCATTGTTATTAAAGACCACAAACAAAAAAAGTACCTCCTTATTGATATGGCAGACAGCAATGTATCTTTGAAGATATTCAAAAAGCTGTCAAAATGCAAGGACCTTGAAATAGAAATCTCAAAAATGTAGCACATGGGAACATCAACAATCCCTGTTGTAGCTGGAGCCCTAGGAATGGTTGGAAAAGATTCCAGTAGACTAATCAAAGGGATTCCTGGAAGTCCATGCCTCAAAGAGATAGAAAAAATTGTTCTGACAAGTACAGCCCACACTTTACGAAGGACTTTATCTATGTAATTTTTTTTTGTCAGTGGAAAGTGTCATGATGCCATTTCTAACCTTAGGTCCCTGGGCGGGATCCAGAAAGAAATGTGTAAACACCAAAAATCAAAGGAAATAATAATAATAATAATATAAATAAATATCAGTTTTATGGATTCTATAAAGTCATAATTACTGACCCCCATTCTCAAAGAATGGAAGATTATATGCTGAATCAATAATGGTTTGATTTTGTCTGGGCACCACTAACATCAAGAATGGAATTTTAATACATAAACATTTATGATTTACAGTCAGACTAATGTCTTCATCTTTGTTGTCATAATAAAAATGTTTTCACTTGTGCCCTCCAACCTTCTTCAGGTTTCTGTCAATCTAGGGAACCTTCAAGGAATTTAAAATTGTGCTCTCTTTATTTAATGGGGGTAAGATTGTTCTTGTTCCACTTTCCATGCCTAGGGATATCTCATCTTGTTTTAGTACTGCTCACTTATTTCTCATCTTATTTCCACTAATTCCTGAGTCAGTACTATGAAATAAAATGTTGTTGAACTTCTAAAGCCATTAAATAAATAAAAAAAAAAAAAGCATGCAAGTGAGAAGTCAATTCTTGAGTGATTATCTGAAAATTCAAACCAATTGTGAATTTCTTTGTTAATAAAATCAAAGATAAACACTACTTTCAATGAAATTCATGACAAAATGACAGAAGTTCAATCAGATTTTCAGCACATTTGGAAAACCAGTCATTGTACTTGTCTTCTTTTTTGACTAAACCCTTGAATCAGAATTAAATTTAAGTAAACAGATATGATAGAAAATAAATAAAGGAATGGACATTGGAATCTTTGAAAGATGCGTGATATCTTACGTTCATGTTGTACAAGCAATAGACTCATGCAAACGAGCTACATAATTTGTGACTTACCCACCATTCATTTTGTAACTAAGTTTTGTTTAGCTAAATAAAGCTTATTACTTTTACTTCTGTTCTGAGTTTTGTTTTACATATTACAAGATGCTAACACTTTACAACCTGAAGGGAATTCAAAGCAAAGATACTTCATTTTGTTCTGGGTGATGATCAGGAATCTCTTTTGATGAATTATTTTTTGATAAAAAGGGAAAAAAAAATAGTAAGAGTAATATTAGCTGTTTCCCTAAAAGGAAACATTTGTCAGTCATTAACCAAGTGGCCAGGACTTTCAGTTGAAATTTATAAACACTTTCTCTTAAAACAATTTTTCAGGAAAATAGATTCCTCAAGTTCAGTAGCTGTTATCACTCTTTCCAGTATTGATGGAGTTTCCTTCCTAACTTTTTGTTTTGAGTAGTGTGGAATGTGAACGTCTTGATTATGTCATTTTATTTTTGGCTTATATGTGCCATCGATTTTAATTGTTGTTGCTAGTTCCCAAGTGATGTGGTTTTTGTTATTTGGTATATTATGATTCTGTAATGCCAGTCCACAATATTCAAAGAACGATGGTCTTTGCTAAGATCATCTGGTTTCAATCAAAGAAGTTAATCAGTTAATGACCAAGAAAAAGGAATGGAACATCTTTTTTAGAACCAAATTTATAATATTAGTGAAATGAGAAAATAACTAAACATTTGCAGGAAAAAAAAAAACAAAACAAAAAAAAACAGTGAAATTTTTTTGCCCATATTTGCCAAAATTTAGTTACCTTGATGACTGAGGAACATTGTGTTAGTTACTAATTTGTTCACTGGTATCTCTTTTACCATAATGTTAGTTGCTTTTCAGTAACTACAATAAAACAAGCATTTTATTTTACTAATAAATGAGGCATTGTCAACCAGGATTCACTTTTCCTTCATCTTAATTTGTTTTCAATTCAATTATTTACACAATTCTATGGCAACTATTAAATTCCAATGTATTCAGTTTACTGACAGTGTCATAGAAAGTCCGATTAATTACAAATAGAAAAGCAACTAAAATGAAGAATGAAATACTCATAAAAAAGAATAATCATTTGCAGTGTAAAACAAATTCAATATATTACTACTAGTGTATGTAATGCATAATATTTGATACAAGATTAGTGTTTTGTCTGTGATACATATATATATATATATATATATATATATATATATATATATATATATATATATATATTTATTTAAAAATATGATTCCATCGCTAAACTTCAATATAATTATTTGTATTAAATTGAATTAAAGTACCAAGCTCTGTTCCATCTTCAAGCAAAATTTTATATATATATATAAATAAAATACAAGGTTACCTGACCTGCCTCAGATACAGAACAGGTTATCTGCTTTCCTTTATTTTGAATTTGTATACATTGTGATTTACTAAGCTTAGCCAAATCAGGCACAAGGCCATAGTAATTGCACACTTAGTGTGGCTTGTACTCATTAGACTTGATAAGACTTTCTTTTAGAGACATTTTCTTTCAATATTTTGATCTGACTTTTGTAGACTATTTTAGTATTTCTTTTTTAATTATATATATATATATATATATATATATATATATATATATATATGTATATATATTCAAACATATATCATTAAATATAACAGACAACTAAATGCCTATTATGCTTGATTATGAGCTTTGTATAGTGGCTTTAGTTTCAGGATATAGATATACACACACTGCAGTTCAAAAGTTTGAGGCTTCCCTTGGTAATGTTTTAAGTAAGAGAAAATTATTATACATTTTTTTTTTTTATGACAAAAAGAGCAAAATCATTTTATGATTAAATTTTGCTCTCATCAAAATATCCTCCTTTAGCCTTTATTATGGCAGGACAAATATTTGGCATTCATTGCAAAAGTTTCTCTATATCTTAGTCAATTAGCATACATTGGATCTAACAACTGTTTTCCACTGCCCTGGGAAACACAGGCTAAAATCCTGCCAAAAAGTGTATATTTTACTTTAAGATTTCTCGAATATTCAGGCCGGTAGACAAAAGTAAATAAATATACTAATTAATAAATAAACCAAGTGTCTACTCAAGTACAACTATCCACTAAAAATAATGATTAAAGTGATAATATATATATATATATATATATATATATATATATATATATATATTACACACACACTACAGTTCAAAACTTTGATGCCACCTCCAGAATTAGCATTGACAGAAGAAAGAAAAAAAATGAAAAAGCTCTTAAAGTCATTGGAAAAATTAAGGGATCAGTTATCAAACTTTTGTAATGAATCCCAAAAATTTGTGCTGCAAAAATCATGCCTCACTTTTTTTTTAACCATCTATAATAATTTTCTCTTATTTAAAGTACAAAACAACTATTTTGGGGGACAATTTAAAAAAATTCCTCAAATTTTTCAATGGTAGTGTGTGTGTGTGTATATATATATATATATATATATATATATATATACACACACACAGTTCAGAAAATGTTCAATAAGCACTACTCTGTAGATCCAATAGGGTTTTAAACAAAGTTATTCTTAGAAATGCGAGAGATATTATGTAATTAACAATTGATATTAATGAGTAAACAGTTATTATATATGCATTGAATTTAGAGAAGAAAATTTTAAAATCATTTATGATTTACATGCTCAATTCAATGTAAATGTAGTTAGTTTCCTAAAATTGACTTCTACAGCATCAAGAGTAAAAGGTTCTTTTCAAATCAAGTCAAAAGAAATGTTTAACAATCAATAAGGATACTGTCAATTATTAAAATAATATAAAAATACACATTCAAAATTTCTGTGCTCCTTAAACTGTGAAACTTTATATATCACTTTTTACCATCAACATTTTCCCTACAAATATTGAAATAGCAACTTTCAATCAGTCTCTTTGAATCTTGTCTACACTTGATATACATAAAATATCTTTTCTATAATTACATTTTGAATTTTTATTGAGATTACCTATTTTTCTTACTGCTTTTTTTTTTTTTTTTTTTTTAAATTATAGATGCATTAGTTAACTAGTCCCCTATTTCTAACATTGATCATTTCTTTTAATATACTCTTTAAAAAGGAAATTTTTTTACACAATTGTCTCAAAAGTTGATGAATGTTAGGAAAAATAGTGGGGTTCATGGAAATAAATGCTTAAAAATAAAAATTTCAAAGCCTTACCTTCTTTCATTGTCATCAAGGTGAGAGAATAAGACATTTTTTGCAATTGCTTTTGACAGGGCAGCCATTGTTTTGTAGTCTTTTGGCACTACCTGAAATAGATAACCACACATAAATTAAAAAAAAAAAAAAAGAAAAAGAAAAAAGGTTTCCTACTTACAAAAAATAAATATTTAAGTTCTAAAACAAACCAAAAACAACTTTTATTAACATCAGATAATGAAAAACAAAAATGATTAGAAAGTGTTTTTTTTTTGTTTTTTTTTAAAATCCTCCAATAATTCTCTAAAATAGAAATCCATTGCCCATCCTTAATATAAACCATTTTAATTTTGGTAACTCATAGATAGAAATTCATTCAACCTCCACTTACTTCATTCTCTAAAGTCATATCTGATAAAGAGTTCAATTTAGCAAACCATTAAGAGTGAAAAGGCTGTAGACAGAAACCAAAAATTGCTTGGTGCCAAAATTAAAATAAATTAGAATAAATATATAATTACATGTTTTTAGTATCAGTGACATCATTATGAAGTCTTCCAAATTGATATCATTAGCTTTTGTTTCTGAAATTATACTCAAAAAAGAAGTTTTCTGATGAACCAATATTCCCAATTAGTTCTACATTAACAATGTTTTTTTAAATTTCATCCCACTTTCTTCTCCCCTCTTTTTCTAACATGACCTTATTCTAATATCAACAATTGTATAAAGACTATGACTCCCCCACCACCTAGTATAAACATTTTTTATTTTTTTAATTTTTTTAAATGAATTCATGATAATAATCCTCCCACCCCACACCCAAAAAAAGAGAATTATACATTTTTGTAATGGTTAAAAGCAACCAATTATCTGACCAGGTTATATAAAGAATGGGTAGAAGCAGATCCTCAGAATAAAAACCTTTCTTGAGAAATTCCAACAAAATTAAGAGATTATTTAAACTATTTACATTCAGACTATTGTTATCATCTTTGTTGCTGTTATCACAACATTTTGGCTGTTGTGCATTCTGACCTTCATTAAGTGTATATCGATCCAGGTAATCAACAGGAAATTTCAAACTGAACCCTCTATTTAATCTACAGGAGTAGACTGTTCTCCTGTAGGTTACCCACATTGATATACACCTGATGAAGGCTGCAAGTCACAATGCCACGAAATGTTAATAACAACAAAGATGAGGACAATAACCCGAATGTAAATAGTGTAAATAATGATAACTCCTCATGCCACAAATTCAGACCAAAAGGATTAAGAGATTCCGGATTTCAATTCTGCAAATGCACTCCAAATTGTATATGTATTTAATATGTAAACTGAAGTTGGACATTTGCTCGGTCAATTATTTGTTAAATCTGATAATAGATTCCTTAGCGTTATTTCTCCTCTCATTTTCTTACATCTGAAAATGCATACAAATGTCTCTTGAGAATTTACAACTGACCAATAAATAGCCTAACATCTAGAATGGGTGTAGAATAAAAGCATTTATATTTGGGAAGCCAAGCCTTTTAAAGTAGAAAGTGATAGAAAAAAGAAAATCTGAAGCCAATACAACCATTCTTGGTTCTTACAGCAAATAGCTCAGGGCCATGCTAAATTTTCAACATGTATTCTATTTTTATTTGGATAATCATTAAAATTCTTTAATAGCCATTTAGAGAGGAAGGAATGCCACTGGTGTTGGGATTTTGCAGTGAAGTTAATTTCGGGATACATGACAAATTGCTTCTCATTATTCAGGCAAAGACAGACAGATTTATACTCACATGTATTAGCACAACTGAATTTATCTCTTGCTCCTTCATTGTATGTCATTATCATTGCAAACTTTTACAAGTCATATCTAGTGATATTCTCTGGAGAACAAGTAACAGCAAGTTTCCAGGACTCTATACAATATTTATTATTATATGAATTTTTATACCCATCAAATATGGTGTTGTCTCACTAGGAGCCATGTGACACAAGTCCTCCAGTAATTCTCCCCAATGCCTTTATTTCTTTTTTTTAAAAGAATTTTTCCTATTTTTATATATATATATATATATATATATATATATATATATATATATATATACATACACATATATATATATATATATATATATATATACACACACACACACACACACACAAATATATATATATATATATATTTTCGTATGGATGAAATGGAACTAATGAAATATATATATATATATATATATATATGAAGAAATTTTGAAAAACAATAAATTTCCTTAAATAGTTAAATGAAAATTTTCTTTCATTTAACTACATTTATTTTTGTTTGTTTTTTCAAAATTTATATCATTATATATTTATATCCATTTACACACACTTATATATATATATATATATATATATATATATATATATATATATACACACACACACACACACATACATACATACATACATACATACATACATACAACAGAGCAGTTCAAAAGTTTTAAGGAAAAGTAATTTTTTCAAATTGGCCCTAAAAGTATTGTACTTTAAATAAAAAAAAAAAATACATGGTTTAAAAAAAAAAAGACTTTTTTTTTTATTATTATTATTAGAAATTTTATGACAAAAAAAAAAAAAAAAAAGAAAAAAAGCTATTTCATGGTTAAATTTTGCTCTTGCCAAATAACATCCTTTAGTTTTGATTATGGCACCACAAATGTTTGGCATTTGTTGCAAAAGTTTATCAAAGTTTTTGATAATTGGCTCCATTCTTTTTTCAGTGACTCTAAGAGCTTTCTCTCTTCCCCACCCACACTCTTCTGTCAAGTTCATTCCATGCTAATTCTGGGCGTTGCTTCAAACTTTTGAACTGCAATGCATATACAAACCTGCCCAACATAGTTTTCATTGGGAATCAATTAACAGCAAATCACAATCATTCAGCAATCTCATGAGTATTTCAGATTTTAGTTTGTCATTTACACAGTTTTTTAATGAGTTAATGTCCAGCCAGTGGCACCATTCATTAAAACCACCTCTACAGAGATTCAAAAGATTCTCTGCTTGAGTTTGTCTGGTAGATCAAATCTCCAGATTACATCCATTTTATTCAAGGTGGCCTGGGCAATAGCTATGTGAATTTTCACATTCTTTTCAGTAAAAAGTATCTCACTTCCTAGGTATTTAATAGATTCAATAGATTTTATTGATTCACTTGAGACAGTTTGTATTGAGCTTTGCTTGTTGAAGCCTATGAATTCAGTTTCAGAGGCATTGACCAACATTGTTGACAGCATTTTCTGGATGTCACATTGTGCACATGCAAAGTAGTGCTAAAAAGATTTTAGTCTGACCCACTTCACTAAAATCTGACTAAACATCAGACTCACTTCTTGGTAAAGCTGAAACTTTTTCAGTGTGAGTGTGCGCATGTATGTACACACACACTGCTATATTACCAGAAATAAAAAGTATAAAAATTTATTGCCAACATCGATTTCATTATATTCATAATATGTGTTATGGTTGACCCTTTTTGCTTGATAAATAAGTCAATTACATTGCATCGGAAGCCGAAAAAAAATTCTACATTTAAACGCAATATCTTGATTACTTTCACATTGATCTTGTACATGAACATGATGAAAATAGAAAAAGATCAATGAAGTTGAGCCAATAATGATTGGATAAACAGCTACAAGTCTGCATTTGCCCAAGAGAAACAAAATTCATGCAGCAAAAACACAAAATATGAGAGAATTCAATTTGCAATCATAAAATTTGTCACACATTTGTTCTCTTCTTTCAGTTGCTGTCCATTTATGCAACCATGGTTTTGTCAAGTAAAAGATTTATTAGACAAATACATCAACATTTTTGTTTAGCCAAAGTAAAACATAAAAAGCATAGATAAAAGGCAAGCAGTTATTTCAACTTCTGATACAAAATGACATGTGCACAAACATGGTAAACATCATTCTACAAAAGATCAGCTTTTGGGCATTTAATACTTATCTGCTAGAAAAAGGATAAGAAATATTGAGGAATACATTTTGACCCTATTCTTAGAGAATTTGTAATAACTGAAAGTGGCTAACCTTAATGCAGGAATATGAAGTGTATTTAAAGGGTTCTGAATGAATTAAAATTTACTGTAGTAACATTAAACTAGTCTTGGTAACCAATCAATATGACTTGGATTGAAAAGCAAGAAGTGATTGTCAATGGTCAGGGATTAATGCAAGTTTTACTCATAAAATAAACCTAATCTATGTAAATGCACTGAGAGTGTTTTTCAAGAGAAATACACCAAAATTAGTGGGAGAAAAGAATTATCACTGATGGGGCATTAATAATTGTATTAATGACAGAATTTTGTCTATGTAGATATTAACTCGGTGTATATATTAATAGCACTAACATTTTTCACAATGTTAGTGAAAATATAGAAGTATATTAGAAAATTAGTAATGCAATCAATTGTTTTATGTATTTAGAAACATTAGGAAAAATATCCAAATGTTAAAAAATAGCTTGCACGTGACAATGACCGAGTGGTTTGTGGATTTCATGGCATAGTAATTGTGAGTTCAATCCCTGGGCTGGGTAGTACAAATTTAATGAAAACAGGGCAAGCAATAGGTGAGCAGTACTAAAAGAAAAAAAAATGAGATATGCTTCAACATGGACAGTAGAATGAGAACAATCTAACTCTATCCCAAGACCAAATAAAGGCTTCAGTTCAAAATTCCCTCAAGTTTATCTGGATCGACAGATATCCAAAGAGAGTCAGATTAACTAATTTTTAATAAATGCTGGTGTAAACAGTCTGCAATCAAAATAACTCTTAAAACAGTAAAAACTATTTTAATTATATGGCTGCAAATTAGAACTTGCAAAATTAACAATATTGAATAATTAAATAACAGAAAATCAATGACTTGAAAGGGATTTTATTTATTTATTTTTTAAAATCTATTCTGCAAAAAATAGAATTTCTCAAGAGAGTTCTTTCATTAATTAACTTTCAAACTATTTTCTTTATTAAGTAAGGCGCACAGACGGCCTTCTATTTATTAAGGCGCACAGACGGCCTTCTATTTAT